TAATAGATGTTTTAAATCTATTTTAAACCACAAACATCTAGGTGATATTTCTCTTTTTGAAAATTTTAACTCATTTTTCAATTACAGTTGACATACAATATTATATTAGTTTCAGATATACAACATAGTGATTAGACATTTATATACCTTACAAAGTGATTGGCGATATTTCTCAATCACAACTTCTCTTATTCTTTTCCTGATCAGTCACTAAATACCTAGTGTTTTTAACCCAGAAAATTCATCCCCCTAGCTCCTAAAGGATCTATCTAATTCAAAGACACTTCTTTTATGTCCCTCTTTCTAAGACCTCTCTTAATTAGCTTCACCTTACTGGAAGAGTATTATATTAGAAGAAATGGATTAGCTGTCATAAACACTAAAGAAATCAAATCTATATGATATAATGTTTATATTATAATATATATATTTGTTTAATGGTATTTATATATAGCACAATGTGTTCTTTGGTTAAAAAAAAACAGAACAGTAATGTTGGAATTGAAACAAAAGCATCATTCAGTTCTTGTTGAGTAAAAAAGTCCATATGCTTTTACATCTAGAATATTGCATTTGGTTATCTAGATACAAGTATGATTTCAATCTTCAAAGATATAAAATCCCTAATTTACATTTTTGATTATTATTTTCTTAAATGAAGTGACATGAACTTTTTTAAATCTAGGTATATTTTCAATTTGTATAATCTCTTACTGGATTAATAAGTTCCATAAATGTAAAATATTATGTAAATGTTACGTAATAATGTGTCCTCTTATTTCTTAAAATTATCTGCAGTGCAGTCTCAAAGTGGTGAGTTGTAGAGATGTCAGACAATTTCCTAGTTTAGGTATCATATAATTAGATGAAAATATGTTATCCAGATGTTTGTTTTATTGATTTATTGTCATTTTCTCCAGAGCCAGGTTCTCTAATGCAAACATCTCTTATCTAAGCTGAGGGACAGTACTGACCAGTAGAGCTATTTAAGTGTATAGCTAATACTAATACTGATTTAAATACCAATGTTCATTGTCGAAATTCAGTGAAGAATGTATAGGCATTCTTTGTGTTAGTCTCCCTAGTTTTGTTATATGTTAGTAATTTTCAATAACAAAATGTAAGAAAATATTCATACATTTTAATGTCCAGGAAACTTTATGTTCTATGTGAGGAGGTTTGATTTGCTAGATCACTGTTGTGCTTGTTTATAATTCTACTGATATCTTCAGTGATATGCCCTTATTAAAGATGGGTGAAAATAATGTGGTCTCTGTGACACTGCCTTTTAATTCTGTGAACTCTGTGACATTGCCTTTTAATTCTTGGATTTGATATTATTAAACAATCCCAATGATTTTCCCTTTAGATTTTGCTTTCTTTTTTTTTAAGTAATCTTTTATTATCGGCATTGAAGTTCATTATAAGATGATGTTCAAATTCTTTTTGATCTATTAAATTTCTAGTTTAAACTTGACTCAGAACACTTTGTGATTTTCTTGTGTTGAATTATAATACATTTTAATATTAAAAGTTAGCTTTTCTCTTCTTTCAGAGTGTCAATCTTTCAAAACTATTTCTTTTTCCATAAACTTAACCTTTAGATCCATGATTTAAGATCTAAATTTATGGTTATACAATTTAAATAGTCTGTGTTCTTTTTACATTTTATAATATTCCTTTTTTCCTTATTCAAACCTACTCTTTGCAAAACTTTCTCTTGCAAATTTTGCATAACAACACGGGTGTTTTTTTTCTCCTTCAGCCTCAAGGTACATATGTATATAGTAGTGCTGTAATCACTATTACATATATTTTCTATATCAGGTTCTGCTAATTTTTAAGAATACATTTTCTTTTATTTAGGTTCTGAAGCTAACTACTGCAAGTAGGCCTTCGTGTTCTATTTTTTCAGTTCATCTCCTTTGCATCTGGTAGATGAATTTCACTAACTTCTGTGTAGGTGATTAAAATAATAATTTAAGATAAAATGGAGTTATATCTTAGGATTACTGAATATTTTCTTTTCAGTTTGGTTTACTATGCTTAGTTTAACATGCATAAATTTTTTAAACAGCTCTAGTAGGTGATAATAGATATTAAAATCTAGGGTAAAAATAAATCATGTGGATGAATAAACTGTTAGACTTTGAAATACTGGTTTATAATTGTTTTTGTTATTCAAGAGAGTAATAACGTAAATAAATACAAAGATATTCTAGCAAGAATAAATGATTCTAACAGTTTAAGCAGAATATAGATTGTTCTGCATAAATTGATTATATCATTGCATTAAGGACTTCATGCTTATTCTAAGCACATCTGTGTTTTATTCTTAAGTGAGGAAAAAAAAGGGTGTGTTTTGTTTAGTGTAGGTATTGTCACTTTGTGAAAAAGGAAACTTAATGAGATATTTTATCAAGGGCATAGATTTATTTATAAAATATACTTACCAGAAGTTGAAATGTTTCAATTCTTCCCTGTTTCTCTAAGAGAGATTAGAATAAGGAATTACAATGTTTGCTTATATAAGAAGATACTAAAAGAGAGCCACATTAAATTACGTGGTAAATTGGTGGTCAAGAGTAAAGTTCAGTATACTTCAACTGTTTCTGTTCACGTTGCTTCCTTCTGATTATCTTTCTTATATTTAAGTTCAGTTGTAATTTGCCCTTTAATTGTAAAGTAATATTTTAAAATTTAAGAAAATTCTAATAGCTATTTTTGTGGTATGTTTTCTATTTGATTATCTATTATACTCTTTTTTATTATATGCTAAATTTATCAATTCATAAATTTCCATCTAACAGAAAAGCAAGAGACCATGAATGATTATCTTCCAACAGCTATATAATCTTTATTTAATTTAATTTTGTTATAGAAATTTATCATAAGCTGTCATATTTTTTTTCTACTGTTGCACTAAATAAAATTTAATTCTTAATTATGTGTACCTAAGTCTATTGGAAACTTATAATTCACTCTCTACTATTGAATGTGACATACAAGTGCATACATAATAATTAATTAAAATCTGACATTTGCTGTGAAAATGCTTGCAAAAGAGTAACAATGAATTTTGTTAGAAATGTCTGTTTATTTTTTTTAATTTCTGAAGATAACTATTCTTGACTTAGAATTTGTTTTGCTTTGATTAAACCATTGGTTAATGAAGCTGTTTGAATATTTCATTTATCTTAACTTGTCTTAGAATTCAGACCAATGGGCTAGAGTTTAATCACTCCTTTTCAACTCCTAACCTTATGATGGAAGACCTTGAAAATAGAAATGTGAGCTGAAGCATAATGGAAGCATTTGCTATCCATTCTTCACTCTCATTTGTGCTTGGTCTCTAATTCATATACAAACATTTATAAACCTACAGATTTATAACAAAACTTACTTTTCTGATACTTATGACTCTAACCTATTTCAAAAGTAGATAAACTTTTCTAAACATCACTTCAGTGATAACAAACATATTGCTTCCTTTTCCTATTTCTACTTCTCCCTATAATTTTCCTAACCCTAGTGTAAGTCTAAATCAATACTACTTATTATGTTTCACTTTAATTTAATTTGGAAAATGCAGCCACATTTTCACTTACCCGTTTTAAACAATTAACATTTTATTTCACTTGCATTACATTTTCCTGAATTATCTCATCTCTATTTCATTTTTGTCTGAATAGCAGCGTTAGAAATTTTGTAGTAGGGAAGTTAGGAGGTATGAAATATTAACAATACATAAAATGACTTCTGTATTTCAATAAGTTAAAATGAATTATATTTACCTAAATTACATATTTACTTTGTTAAACAACTCAGACAACTCGCAGATTTCAGGCAGAGTTGAGGGAAATAGAGAGGGATGGGTAGAGAGAGAGAGAGGAACGGAGAGAAAAGAAAGGGAAGGATAAGCTTTGTGTAATTGAAGGTCTTGGTAGTGAGGTCCTTAATGACTTCCTAGAAAAAAATGAACTAAATCACGGTTTGTTTGTTTGTTTATCATTAATATATCTTATTAAGCATTCAAAAGAAAATAAAACAAAAAAATCTTTTTAAAGCTAGTAAAGCAAAAAGAGAGTCTAGCGGAATCACATGAACTTCTGTGGAAACTTTCTCAAGTTAAACTTTCTAAATTGTATGGGTCCCATTGAAAAAAGATGGTAATAGAAGTAAAAAGCTCAAGATGAGATGTGATCATGTGAGTACAGGACTCTCCGCTGTGCATGCTCACAGTAGACACATTACATAATAATTAAGTTCAAGATCCCCTTTTGTTTTAAGTGACACATTTAGGACTGAGAAGAAAACACCCCAGCCAGAAATCCAGTCAAATAAATAGACCCGAATTAATGCATTTACATTGGAGATCTGAAGAAGTCCTTAACTTTCTTCATGCATTACTTCCCTTGCCTAGTTATAAAATTATTGGATTAGTTTCAAATTTCTTAAAATAGAGATTCCTAAATGTGTAGATTCCAGGAGAGAATTAAGAAGGAGAAAAATAAAATAAACGAAATGGAATTCACTAGGTGGTATAATTTATTGAAAATGTTTGAGATTTTAAATGTAAATGCTCTAAAACAAGAGCAGTAAAATCCTATCATTTTAGTTTCTAAAAAACAGCTAATTAGTAACAGTATAAACATTGGGTCTTGAATTTAAGCAAATATCGCTTCTGGGCCTTTTGGTTAAGATCAAATGTAGTCTCTGTTCTTATCAGTATAGCATAAGCAAATCTTGTCTCTCTAGGTTTCAACTGTAGTTCTGACTCAGTGTTTCCTGTATTAAAAGAAGGCAAAGGTGGGGTTATGACCTGAAAATTAAAGCTCTGAATATTTAAGCTGATATGCAAAGCACCAGCAGAACAACATAGACGCACAGAGAATCATGAATTGTACACTAATCAAATTTTAATAAGGGGGAATGTTAGTATGGAAGCACATGATAACCAGTAATGCATTTTTTGGTTTTTGTTTGTTTTCCTTTTGCAGGAAAAAGTCCAGCATTTACAGAAGGCTTTTGCTTCAAGAGTAGATAAATCCACACAGACTGAACTTCCAGGATGTGATGTAAGTACCTATGTAAGACCATTTTTATCTTCTTTATTGATATTCAGATCTCCACAGCTTATTTACCTCTGCTACTACTGTGTCCATGCATTGATTTAATAGAATGTAATGGTGCCCCATTCATCTTTTGCTCTTAAATAATCCCCAAATACCTCTGGAACTAAAAAAGATAATTACGGACACTGACTAGCATACCAATGTCTTCTTTTTTTTAAATCAACATCTCTAATCCAGTCTTTCGAATTAATGAATTCACAGGCACATGGATGATACATATTAGAATACTAGGATAATTTATTTTTAAGAGAGTACTAATTTATTTATTAACAGTTTAATAAAGTTTGCAGTCACTAAAGCCAAGCACATCATTTTTACATACTGGGACATAAAAGCAAACACAACTTAGTAGAGAAATAAACAATAATACTTTAGCTCTCGGGCTTTAGGGCAGGCTTCAAAAAGTAATTTAATTGAAAGTTAAAATAAGATTAAAAAATAAGTTTGAATACAAGATTGCTTCTAGTAACACTGAGTGATTTTGGATGACTTCGATTCACATACTTATCTTTAAAAAAACAGCTATGAAATTTTCATTTTACCTAAGTTCTTGACTTTAAACTTCCTTCTGATTAAAAAAATAGAATTATCTTCTTTATCTTATATGTAACATTTGTGAGAATTCTCTCTTCTATTTAAAAACATTTTTAGCACTTTTTTGACAAGTGCAAATAGAATAGATATGATATTAGTTTTATGATGTTGTATAATATATGACTATTTGCATGTCCTCATTATATTACATAACATAAATATAGATATTGCTTTTCTGTTGCCTTGTCAAATAAAATATTTAATATAAAGTTATTTGTCATTATTAGGAAATACACCAAAGTTTTGAATTTCAGTGCAAATTATTTTCAGATATTTATGTACAGCATTTAATTAAAAAAAAAACATTAAAAGCTATGTTTTTATTGTGTATTTTCTGTTACATTTATTTTAATGTTTTTTTCCTAGATATCTAAATATTCTAGATATCAATATTATGACTGTAATACTTTCTGAATACCAATGTTGTATATTATTTAAATGTCAATGTTTTATATTTAAAAAATAATTTTTATTACATTCAAAGACGTGTTTCAATATTAATCTCTTTTGAAGGAGTTGCTTTTCCATTTAAATTTTTTTAATACATATTCTTCATGTATTTAGTCTTTAGGATATAAACCCAGTATGTATTTTACAAATCACAACCTATGTATTTTTAAATCTGTAAACCAGAGAGTTGTCCAGCATATAATAAATCTTATTCCAGTATATCAAAATCATACAATACAGGAACAACAAGCTAACTTAGAATTCTCCTACTTCGAACCCCTTAATTTTCAAATAAATTAACTGAGTTTCAGAAAGTGAAGTCATTTGTTTACTACCCCATTATCTTTGTAGAAGTCTAATCTTTTATTAAAAGTAACATATTCTTAAAAACAAGGAATATTCCATTTTACTCAATATAAGGAAATTATGTTTGGGAGACTGAATTCTAAATATCTAAATGACTGAATATAAATCTAGAATGTAAGAGATCTGTAGCACAATTAGGACTGCTTGTAAGAAATACTTGCTAAGAAATGAATGGTACCTGTGAGGGGATAACTAAGCCGTAACTACTAGCAGCCTCTTATGTATTTGTCTATCTATGCCTTATAATTTTCTTGTTGCCACAAAAATTTCTTATACTAGTGCTATTTAGTTTTCTAAACATGTAAATAAAAATTAAAAATAAAGCCATGAACATTGTTAATTCTTATTATTAAATCTCCATTAATTTCTAGCTTTTCATATCTGACAGTGAGAGCTTAGTGTATTTTACTGGATTGAATTGAGATTAAAGAATAATTTTTTGGTAGTGAGTCCTTAAAGGATCTCCCTGTAGAAATGTCTGTTATGATTTCAGTAGTCATTAACATAGAATAATAATCTTTTCTAAAGATTTCAAGTTTCACATTTCTCGGTGGGTGAGATATATCCTAGGACATAATAATCAGAATCAGCAAATTAATTACCAAAGATACGCATACAGAGCCTTATGCCAGTAACTAGATGTTACTGTAGCAATAAACTTTAGAACATTTTGTATAGAAAATCCTGGAGAGAATATTTTAAATAAACAAATTAGAAATAAGTAAAGCATTTTAAATGTGATGAATTGTGTGACTATTTGGAGTATATGATTCATCAATAGTGTAATTTTCCCTGACTGGGATATATTTTCTGTATTTTTCAATATCTATTTATAAATAATTTTTCAAATTTTCATGTGCAATAAAAATCATTTGTCTTTTAATTTATAATATTTGTTCACATTTTCCTCAGGAAATATAGTTTGACATTATTTTAATTTTTCACAAATGTGATATATATACCCACATAGAATACTATATTTATAATTTGCAATATTTGTCAGAAAACATATGAAAAATCTTATAGATATCTTGCATATTATGGATGATTCTTTTACTCGCTTGCTTTCTTCCTAAAGCTGCCAAATATTAGCCACAAATTGTTGTTTATGGATCATTATGAATAACGTTTCAGTGATATGAATGTCAGACTATAAGAGACTACAAGTATCCATTAATGTAATTTACTTGGAAAGATAGCTGTTGCCACACACTTGTCTTAGGATGAGAAATAAAATCCCCATAAGATATTAATTATATGAAAACTATTAAAAGAAATTATAAAAATCTACAGTGAATAAATTCAAAGGTTTTTACAATAAACTATTCTGCAACAGATTTATCAGGAGGCTTGAAACTGATGTTAGTGTACAATGTGCTCTGATTTGTAATGCACATAGCAAGAATTATTTAAAAATAAATTCAGTGTCTCAGCAAAACCTATAAACAAAATAGTTCTTGTGATGAAGGAGATTATTAAATAAATGATGAATGTGTCTTAAATAATCAATGCCAATTTAAACTCTTTCACCTTCCTCTGTCTGTACAGGCTTAGTTTATTGAAAGATCAAAGAATAGTTTCTTAGGTGTCACTCGTGTTGTAGAAGATGAACAGTATAGAAGATGAATAGATGTAGTCGAGTAGCCGATTAGAAGATTACGTTAAGAGGTAGATTCTTCTGATTACATCAGCTATATAACTAGATGTTTCAACATAGCACATATGATGTCTGTAAATATTTTATAGCTTGAACAACTGCAAATAACATTTTGGTTAAAAAACCAAAATACTGCAGTGAAGATTTTATATTCTAACACTGAGAAAATTCTGATACTTTTATTAATCTGACATCTTCATAGATAGCTTTTTCTTTAACTTCCTTTTGATGTTCTACAAAAGATTGGCTTTTTAAATGTGGCTGATTGACTTTAAATATAAATTTTCTTTTCAACTAGTGCCTGAACTGGACTCAGGATAATCATAGGGTCTCTAAGTTGCTCTTTTAGGCAAAAGTACTAAAGTTTCATAAGGGTTCTTTTCATTAGCATGTGTTTTTTATTTACATGTAATAAAAAATGTTTATTAGTCTTGAACTTGCAAAATTTTGTTCATATTTTCTTTGAGTTTTGAAATTATTGGGTATTTCATCAAATATTAAATTATTATTAATCACTATTAGTTTAAATGTCATTGGTGGTTTTAATTTGCCTATTTAAAATGGACTGAATTGTGGCATCACACAGACTTTGTCTCAATCACATATGAGTAAAGCATAAATCAGTTTGGAAATGTATGCTCATACCACTGTGTGGTTTTCAAATATTTTAGCACATTTTCCAAATGGTGCGATTTGCTTTATAAGTGCAGTTTTCTACTTATATGCTAAGAAAAAAAATAGTAATACCAGCTGTATTATGAATACATATTTTTTTAAAACTTAATTCAATTATCTGTGTATTCTCACTTTATGTTACTTTTCTTAGATTCTATTTTGGACATCCTTCTGGCACAGTTAGCGGTGTGCAGGGAGTTCTAGCAAATATAAAAATAATTCATCATGTTAAATAACAAGAATGATTAGTTTTTACTGTAATTTTTTTATTATTAGACAAAGCAGAAGAGTATTTTCTGTTACTAATATATTATGTCAGCCTATGAATTAAGCCCGATTCTAAAAATTGAATAACTTATCAATTAGGATCTCTCACCCACCTGCTAATCAACTATAGTTTTCAATTAAAGCTTTCTATTTGAGATCCATTCATTGCTGATCATCTTTCTTAAAATCAGTACTTCTCCTGATTGTGCAACAACATGCCCCAGCATTTAGTATATGAGCGTATCCCCCCACATATTTTACTTATATTTACTTATCTCTCAGGTATTTTGGTTTATTTTTTACAAATTAAAAAATCTGAATTAAAAATTAAATGATATATTGCAGGTTTTCTTTTGACTACAGTTTTTCATATATTGAGGATAAGTTTCAGACAAGAACATTGATTAAAAACACAGGAAACATGATAATTTGCCACAAGTATTTATTAACATGTAATGGAGGAGTTGCAGCTTATCCAGTGGTGTAGCTCTAAGGATATCACTTTTGAAAATTCCTACATGCATTCAATTACTAAGTGCCCCTGAAAGCCAGGCCTTGTTCTAGATACTTGGGATACATCCTTTAATCAAACAATCCATATTCCTTCAGAGAGCTTGCATTTTGTATGGAGAAATTTATAAAAACAGTAAATATAATAAGTAAAATATATAGTACATTGAAGGTGCTAAGTGCAGTGTGAAAAGTTAAAATAGCACAGGGAAAGGATAAGTGTGAATATAGGGGTGGAGGTTACGGGTATGACCAGAACTTTTAAACAAGGTAATCTGGACAGGTCCGAGGGTGAGGTCTGATGTGGGACTTGAAGGAGGTGAAGTGAGAATCACTTTTAGTCAGAACTCCTTTTGTAATATGTGCTTCATTTAGAGGTCATGCAGTATGGAAAAAATGCATTCTGTACCATTAAATCCTAGAA